TAAATAAAGCTAAAATCAGGGGGCTGGAGAGATGGCTCAGAGGTTAAGAGCACTGGCTGCTCTTCCAGAGGTCCTGAGTTCAATTCCTAGCCACCACATGGTGGCTCACAACCATCTACAATGAGATCTGGTGTCCTCTGCTGGCCTGCAGGCATACATGCATGCAGAACACTGTATACACAATAAATAAATGTTTAAAAATAGATAAATAAATAAAATAAAGCTAAAGTCAGAGACTGGGCCTGGAATGTCCATCAAAAGCTTAAACTCAGGGGCTCTGGGGTGGAAATGGAGGGGGCATGTGGCAGGTACAGTAGGACCTTCTCTTGCCCTAAACATGTTGATGATATCTATGAAAGTCCTGTGCACCTACAATGATACTGACAAACACATCCACATCTCGCACACATTCCAATCAGAAGCATGGAGACCTGTGGAGGGACACACCCAAGGCCACACAGAGTTAGTGTTTGGTAGGGTCCAGTGTTGACAGCCTTTGAACATGTTTTCCGTCTCCATAACAAGTTGTATATCTCAAGTCCTTTAGACACAAGGACTGTATGGTGATCATAACAAAATCCTGCTTTTGAGAAGCTTGGAGGAAGGGGACATCTGGAATGTGAATACCGATTTGTTTTTGTACTGGGGATGAATTGGCATTTGTGTTGCCCATTGGTCTCCTGGGAGATAGCATTGTGAGCCAGTTTGCAGAGATCTGTTCCTTAGAAGGTGCTGATAGAACAGCTGATGAGCCTACCAGCTGAGGCTCAACAGTGATGACCATGAGGCCAGCCCCAGAGCCACTTACCAAATGTGCAGATATTAGGGGCATCCCTAGAGCCAAGGCCAAGAATTAGGGCCTAAGAAGGAAGACCAGTTGCATCTGCAGAAGCAAGGGCCTGCCTTAAGCCCTAAAATGTGACTCCTCACATGATCCCACTGTGATCGCTGCGTGGGTGGAGCTTGAAGCTCCCCAGCTCTGAGGTGCACAGTTTACAGAGCAACCTGTCCAGAGAGGCCCCGGGCCACCTGTCTCTGTGGCTTTCTCAATTCATGTGGAGGATGGAAGACGGAGAACACAGCCCCTTGCTATCTCAGGTGAGCAAGCATCTAGTGGCCTAGTGCAGGCTGAAGATGTTTCTTAGTCCTGTGGTCTGCCAGGAGGCCCCTGGACCAGGAGTCGACCTGACTCCTGGCCCCACCCCAGTATAGTAGTGTGCTAGGATTTGTCATTAAGCGGATGCCAGTGGGTGGCCCTCTCAGATTGGGGTGGGGCTTCACTAATCAGATGGCTCCCCTTACCGATGGCTACACTTGGGTGTTAGCCTCAAAGGGTCTCCTGTAGGTCTGAAAGAAACTCCGACATTGGGCTCAGGAGCAGGTAAAGGCAAATGTCCTTTGAAGTTGAATGTGGTCGTGTCCATGGCCTCAGATAGTCTTCATGTTGCCGTGTGGACTCCAGCAGGCTATCCATGTGCTCTGAGAGACTCCAGCTGACAAGTAATCTTCATATATTCTGCCTCAAATTCGGGATAAAAGAGCCATCCACACAGCTGGACTAGCACGGGGGGAAGTGATGGGACTGACTGAGATGACATGGGACCCTTGCCTAGACACCTGGTTGTAGCCTCTTCCAAGTCAAACTGTCATTAGAAAAACCAGCTGGGTGGTTTGGAACTCCCAGCACTCAGGAGGCAGAGCCAGGCAGATCTCTGTGAGTTCAAGGCCAGCCTGGTCTACAGAGCAAGATCCAGGACAGGCACCAAAACTACGCAGAGAAACTCTGTCTCGGGGGAGCAAAAAAAGAAAGAAAGAAAAACCAGTAGTGGCCAGGGCAGTGGTGGCATACACCTTTAAACCCAGCACTTGGTTGGCAGAGGCAGGTGGATCTCTATGAGTTCAAGGTCAGCCTGGTCTACACAGTGAATTCCAGGACAGCCAAGGCTACACAGAGAAATCCTGTCTCGGGGAAAAAAAAGAAAGAAAGAAAGAAAGAAAAAAAGAACCAGGTCGTGAGTGGGGTTTCCCCAGCTCCCTGCGGAGGGTCTCTCTCACATCTACCTGCTCAGCTGAGCCGCCTGCTAGAGGGCATGTTTTCCCTGCCTCCCAGTCTACCAGCTGCTCCTCTCCCTGACCAGAAAGCCAGGCAGGCAGGATCCAGACAGTCCCTCCCTGTATCCTCCACACTAGGTCAAGCATAGTATCTATGTTTGGCCTAGGTTCACTTGGTGGGTCCGAGGTGAGGCAGAGAAATCAAGGTTGATTTCACAGAGGACAGTAGAAGGATGGTCACAGGAGCAGCTTCTCTGTCCCAGGCAGCCTGCATTTCTGGTTTGGATAGGAAAGTCCCTCCTGTGACTGTACAAAGTCACTGCTGGGGCACAGCAGACTGATGCAAACAAAGAGACCATTCCAAATGCAGGGGAAGCAGGCCCACCCGCCACCCTTCTGCCCGAAAGCCTGGGCAAGGGCATGGAAGAGAGGAAGCAGGTGCATCTTTTCTCTTTTATTTATTTATTTATTTTTTCGAGACAGGGTTTCTCTGTGTAGTTTTGGAGCCTGTCCTGGATCTTGCTCTGCAGACCATGGTGGCCTTGAACTCACAGGGATCCTCCTGCCTCTGCCTCCCAAGTGCTGGGATTAAAGGCTTGTGCCACCACCACCCAGCCTGGATGCATCTTTTAAGTGCTGTCCTGCCTAGTCTTTACCACAGACCTTCCGGGGTGTTACCATCACACGACCCCAAAGGAGGCTGACCTCATCTCTACCCAGGTAGGCAGTGAGCTAGGACCCCTCACTGCCTGTCTGCTCCCTGCCTAAGCAGGATGAGGCCACAAGTTCCCAGGCCCCTAGCTATCCAATTCTCCCTCCCACAAGCTTCCTCCAAGCCCACCCCATCCTCTTAGCTCCTCTCCAGTGAGGCCTCACCCCTTCAGATGTCACAGAGTCTGAGTGGCTGAGAACTCATCAATACATCCTCTAAGTTTTCTTTCTGTCTGCAGGGTACTGCTGGTCAAGTGCAGCCACTCACCAGGAACAGTCCACCTACTTCAAACATCCCAGGTCCAGCACTCTGGGAGGATCAGGTAGGGGCCTGGGGCTGCAGATGCTGTCCTGGGGCAAAGCACCAGGCCTGGAGGGAAGGCCAGGCCTCCTCTCTCCCACTTTCCACAGGAAGTAGCTGTGTCAAGTATCTGACTTTCCTCTCCAACTTCCTCTTCTCCCTGCTGGCCCTGTTGGCCCTGGCAGCAGGGCTCTGGGGCCTGACTGTCAAAAGGTCTCCAGAGGGTGGCTGGGGTGGAGCCCTGCCGACGGACCCCATGTTGGGGCTGCTGCTGGGAGGCCTGCTGGTCAGTGTGGTAACCCTGTCTGGATGTCTGGGTGCTCTCTGCGAGAACAGCTGCCTACTGCGCTTCTACTGTGGAGCTGTCCTTACCTGCCTGGCCCTGGAAGCCCTGGCAGGGGCTTTGGTGGTGGCCCTCTGGGGCCCACTGCAGGATGGCCTCAAGTATACCCTACATGTGGCCATCATCCAATACCGGGATGATCCAGACCTACGCTTCCTCCTCGACCGAGTCCAGCTGGGGCTGCAATGCTGTGGGGCAGTTTCCTACCAGGATTGGCAACAGAACCTGTGAGTGCCCCCCATACCCCACACGGGCAAGAGAAGGGGTGGTCTGGATGCCTCACTCACCCACTTGAGCATGCATGCGTATACATGTGTGTGTTCTTGTGTCCACACACAAGCACATGCCTTGCACTTCTGCTTCCACACGCCTGTACAGAAGTTTCCTTGTGTGCATACAAATGCACTCTCATATATCCCTTTTGTGTAAACACAAAACAAAGTCTCATCCTGAGGCACACACATACACCACATGTACACAGACAGACATGCCAATGTGTGCACTTACTCACAAGGTATGTGGCACTTGCCTTTGCCTAGGCCATGGGCCTTAAACTTGAATGAATCCAACTTTTGGCCAACTCTAGAGCCCAGACTCAGCTTCTCCATGCTGTCCCTCCACTATGAGGATCTAATGGAGAGGCCAAGCCAGAAGATACCAGGAAAGTAATTTTTTTTTTAATCTCAGGACATCTCAATGTCAAGAAAAATGCCGTAGGTTAGTTCAGTTCATGACTACACAGGTCTGTATGCATGTGTTCCTGTGAGTGTGATTGAACTTCCAATTTAGGCATGACATATTTTATGTTCTGCTTGAAGGTCCCTGTTTTGTCTACATCTGCCAATGCACAGACTCCCTGAGCCACGCCTGTCCTCCCTGTAACAGGCAGGATAAACACTGTGCCTCTCTGAAGCCTCTGAGGCCAGTTAATATTGAGGGATGGAGACAGAGGACGTTCTAAGAACCGGTCATTTGTTCTGAACATAGCCGCAATATATGGTGCCTGCCATGCTCCTGGGATCCTGCAAAGCACCCCCTCTAGCCCCCCACTTCCCTCATCTCCCCCACTTCCCCCACACACACACTCGGTTTCTGGGAGAACCTGGTCACAGAGAGTACACTCTGTTGGTAGTTGTCAGGGCCTGGTGAGCAGCTACTGCTCCTTAGCCACCAGGGTGCTCCTCATAGCTCTGAGCCGTTTGCTGCTACCCACTAACACCCCTTATTATTGCAGCCCATTCTAGAAGCGTCTCTGGAATCTCAGTCTACTTCCTCTCTGATACTGCCTGCTCAAGTAAACTCACAGTGTGGATGGGGCAAGGTCTTCTTACCGCCTCTCCTTCAACCACTTCACTAAACATTTCCTTGCCTGCCAAGATAGACACCCCACCCGATCCCCACCCCCTGTCCGCAAGTTCAGAGGGGTGTAAGCACTGTGACACAAGAAACGGAGTATCCTGTGTGTTTGCACGTGTATGTATGTGCCCCTTCATATGTACGCAAGGGTGCGTGCGTGCGTGCGTGCGTGCGTGCGTGCGTGCGTGCGTGCGTGCGTGCGTGCGTGCGTGCTGAAGGCAGGCCTCCTCTCCAGGACTAAACCTTGTATGCTTTGCAGGTACTTTAACTGCAGCTCTCCCGGGGTACAAGCCTGCAGCCTTCCTGCCTCCTGCTGCATCAACCCCCAGGAAGAGGGAGCTTTGGTGAACACTCAGTGTGGCTTTGGGGTGTTGCACCTGGACCGGGATGCAGCTGGACAAGTAGTATACCTGCAGGGCTGCTGGCCTGTGCTGCAGCAGTGGCTGCGAGGGAACATGCGGGCCATAGGCAGCTGTGCCATCACTGTTGTTGTGATCCAAGGGACTGAACTCCTGTTGGCTGCCTGCCTGCTGAGGGCCCTGGCTGTCCAAAAGGCAGCAAAGGACACAGAACCCGGCCCTCTGTGAGGTGCCAGTACCACCCTCCCCACTGAGCAGAGCTGAAAAGACCCTGGTACAGGACAAGTTCCAGGCCTCTCCTCATCTTCCACGGAAGGTGTTGGAGGTCCCCATGGAACAGACTCCTGGACTCCACTCCTGGCCCACTGCCTCTTCGCTACATCTGTCGGTCCCACCTATGTACTGAGAATCTTAAAGGGTCTTTTTAATAAAAACAAACCTGGAGCCAGGTATTGGGGTGAACACTGAAAGATCAGAGAGACAGAACAAGCCACATCCAACCTCATCTTGCCAATTCCTCAGCTGGTCTTGTTTCTTCAGACTGAATGCCTCTGAGTTCTCATCTGGAATGAATCTCAGCTGAACTGCTGCTAAAAAGCCTAAAAGCTTACCCAGGCTCTAGTTCCTGGTCCTCACGCCTTATATACCTTTCTGCTTCCTGCCATCACTTCTGGGATTAAAGGTGTGTGTCACCATGCCTGGCTGTTTCCAGTGTGGCTTTGAACTCACAGAGATCCAGACAGATCTCTGCCTTTGGAATGCTAGGATTAAAGGTGTGTGTGCCACCATTTTCTGGCCTCTATATCTAGTGGCTGTTCTGTTCTCTGACCCCAGATAAGTTTATTAGGGTGCACAATATATCGGGGAACACAATATCACCACACACCTAGACTGACTCTGTGCTGCCTCACTCCTGATTTCTCAGGACCCATCAAAGCCCATGGGTGTCTTTTGCAAAGGCTACCATGGTCTGTGCCTGAGCACACCTGCTTCCTACTAGGCTGGCAGGAAGGGGGATCCTGCTTCCAACCTCAGCTACCTACCCTGATCTGACTCACCCTGACTGGCTCTAGATCCCCATTTCCACAGGACTGGCTTCTCACGGGCCTCCTCCTGCTTTCTGGTCTTTGGTGAGATGTAGGGTATGGCTGGCCACACCCCGTAGAAAGCTTTTTTTGGTAGAAGGAAGACTTGTTTATTGGTGTTTGCACTCATATTTGCATAGTAAACTACAGATCTCACAATGATCGGGACTGTCTTCTTCAAATCAAGATGGAGACAATTTCTCATTCCCCAGCTAGGGTTGAGTGTGGGCAGAGGGCGGCCCAGTTCTGATTTCATTGTAGAGTTAGCATGGTCAGTCTGTGGCTGTCTCGTAAGACGAGTCTTTTTCTTTTCTATTCTATTCTTTCTTTTCCAGACAGAGCCTCATGTATTGCAGGCTGGCCTTGAACTCCCTATGTAGCTGAGGATGACCTTCACCCTCCTGCCTCCTGCTTACAAGTCTGAGATTACAAGGGTGCACTGCAATGCCCAGCACACAGGGTCCTTCCAAAAGCCATTTCCTGGTCATTCAAAGGGATAATCATATGCTCACCCTAAGTATTGTGGGTGCTTTGGGGTGCCCTACCTCTCTGAGTGGAACTCTCAGGTTACTGGGGTATACAGCAGGTGCCAGCTCAGGCTTAGGAGGACTGCCTGGGCCATGGGGCTACTCATTAGGTGCCTGTGTTTAGGTTTCTAGTTTGGTCCTTTCCTGCCTTCTTGGAGAGCCTGCTTCATTGACTATTGCGGCCAGGAGTGAGGGTCAGGGCCAGGCTCACATGTCCAGGACCTCCAGGCCAAGCCTCTGTGGAGTATGTGATTTATGGGAGTTTTTTCTTTCTCTCTCTTGCCAATCTCTCCTACTTCTACATGCCCTGAACCTTCCTCCATGGTACAGATAAAGCAACCCTACCGTAAGTGCCACGCCCATCAAAGCACCTCAGATAAGCAAGGATATGCTAATTTTATTTTGAAATAGGGACAAGGGACAGAGTATGTTGGGAAGGCTGGTATAATGGGTGGAGTAACCTCGGTCTCTCTCACCACATCACCCCAGGACGTGTCCCTCCCCAAAACACCCATCTGGAAGGGTTGTAGGACAGAGGAACTTTCTTACCCACAGAAGGCAGTTCAGGGAAACATTATTGGGGAGTCCACTCCTGCATTCCAGCCACAAGAAGGACAGGAGGTGGGGCTGAGTCTCCCTCCTTTCTTTCTTCTGACCAGGGACTTCAGGTCAGCAGAGTGGCCTGTGGGCGGCTGTAGGCTCTGGTAGCTGGTGTCAGGGCATGAAGTTGTCCCACCTGGAGGCCAGGGACAACCTGGCTAGGGACTCAGGCTTGGGCTTGGGCAGGGGTCCTGGACAGGGCTTACAGAGGGTGGGGGTGGTAGGGTAGAGTGGGTCTTCAGCAGGCCTCTTCCACAGGCTCTTGTAGCAGGGATCGACTAAATGATGCCGTACTGAGCCAGCTCATGCAGCTCCAGGTGGTTGAAGGCCTCCCAAGGGCAGATGACAGTGATGTCTGTAGGAAAGGTGTGATTAGAGAGGGCTCCATGGCCCTAGTACTGACCACCCCATTCCCTGTTGTCCTGCTTTCCACTCCCCAGATAAAAGCCATGTCTGCCTAGGATGAGAGTCTAAACTCTGGTTGCAAATCTTCCTCCTCAGCAGGAAGTGCCAACTCTGTCTTCTGGGTCCTACCTCCAGTAGAGAGGAATGTGGCAGGCCCAAATGGGGAGCTCAGGGACCTTTTGCCAAAGTTGGAGGGATCAGCAAAAGTTTCTCCTGTGCCTAGAGATTCTAGCCCCATGGAACAACCCCTCTCAGTGGGATCTGAAGTTTGATGTCGGGAGAGAAATAGAGGACAGGATGGGAGTCAGGCTAAGTAATAAAGAGAGGAACCTGGGACCTGTGGGAGTGTGTCTGAGGGATGCAGGGAACTTAGGAGGAATATCCTGATGCAACAACCCTGAGTTGTCATACCTGTTCCCAGGCCTTCCATTCCAGGGATGTCATCTCCAAACCTGCAAGGACAGAGTGGTTAGGGATGATGTCTCCAGGTCTAGATCTAGCTACCCCTGGAGACCAGACTGAAGGCTTCCTCCCCAACATCTGCTATGGGGCAGGGTCTGAGGGCTCCCTTCCACTAACACAGGGCTAGTGTGCTTCCCAGAGATTCACAGGCTGAGGACCAGGAAAGAAAGAGTATGCCCAGGTACACATGGGCAGGCACCAACACAATGTTGCCTGGGTGGATTTGGGCTGTGGGTCTCTACAGGAATGTGACATGGAACATGTGAGTGAGTGTGAGGGTGCTGAGTGTGTCTCTCAGTGTGCCAGGTGTGGTTTGTCCCTGAAAGGCACACATGCTAGAAACTAGTCTCCAGTGTGCAACAGTATTGAGAAGTGGTGGGTCTTTGAGAGGAGTGCCAAGCAAAGAGTGACTGGATCCCAAGGGAACATTACTGTGGATTGATGCCATCCTCACAGGACAGGGTTCTAACTCTATAGACAAGGTGGCTATAAGGGAGAGACTGGTTCCTCTTTGCTTTCTAGTTTTCTCTGTCTCCACATGATCTGGCTCTTTAACCAGCACCCCTGCCACGATACCATCCTCTAGGCTGTGATACAGCCACAGGGTCTTTTCCAGAGGTCAAACAGTTGAGACCACCTCTCCTGGAACTTTCAACCTCCAAAACAGTGGGCACAACAAATATTTTCTGAATAAAGTATTCAGCTCCCATTATTTTATCACAGCAACATAAAATTGGCCAAGGCGTCGTCTACAGGTGTTCACATGTAGGTGTCTGTGTGCGCAGGTGAATGTGGTTTGGGTGCACACATCCCTGAGGAGATTCAGGCAGTCTGCTCTCCAGACCTGCCTGGCTGCATTTACACCTGGAGTAAATGATAGGCCCTTGGTTCCCCCAAAACTCTTGAGGCCCCAGTTATCAGGAGGAAGACATATGCAAAGAACCATGGCCGGAGCCCCACCCCAGCCTCCACCTTGTCGTCCCATGCAGCCTGGGAAGAGTGTTCCTTGTGGGAAAGGCTCCCCTCTGCTGTTAGGCTTACCCTTGGACGCCTTTCTTGGGGGGCTTGCTCTTGAACTGCCTGGTTTGCCGTTGCTTAAACTTAGGAGGTCCTTTCCTGGGGGTAACTGGTCCTCCCATAACCCGTGTGGCTGACCGAATCTCGGCCTTGGGTGGCTCCAGGTTCATGGTGAGGCTGTCAGAGACACTTCAGTGACCCTTAGCTTCTGGACTCTGTCAGGCTGGGCTGTACTCCTCATGCAGGCTGGGGCAGACCAGACAGATGGATCCCCATTAGCCCTTGCTCTTCCCGTCTAACCTTAGGAGCAGAGTGCCTGGGACAGCTGCCTCCATTCCAGAGAACCACCTGCCAGCTCCACCAGGGCTACCCAGCACTCTCCTGGTACCATCAGACACCTCCCAATGCTAGCAGCCATACACAACTCATGAACTTCCTTGTGCCCATCCCATACTCCTAACTCACATCAAACATATCCCCACCCACCCACCCACCCACCCACCCACCCACCCACCATGTCCCCAACCAGGGCTTTTTACTCCCTCCCTCCTTCTCATCCACTGGAATCTGATCAGCCATATCACTCTGTGGAAAGCCTTCTGAGGACTCCTGGGATGGTAAACAAAGAACACTCCTGCCTGATCCTGCATGTGATCCCCACAGCCTCTTACCTTCTCTTCCAGGTGACCAGCCCCAGGCTGCTTTCACTGGTACCAGGTCCCTTCTCAGGAAGTCCTCCTCTGACTCTACCCCATGTCATTCTGTATTCCAGGTCCTAATTTATGCCTTCATATCACATTCTGGCTAAATTCCTCATTTATTTACATATGATCCTTTAAGTATGTTTGTTCATATTTATGTACTTGTTGGTTTTGGCTTATTATCTGTCCCTTGGGGTTGGACTTGTTGCTGATAATTAATAATAAATGCTCCACAAAGTGGAACACAGAGATGCCCTAAGGAAGGGGCCTGTCTTTGAACCAGAACCAGCTGAACTTGGTACCGCTCACTTTCATGGCTCCGTTTCAGAGGGCCAAGGCAGAAGCCGGTCTCAGGGAGGGCAGTTACACTAGGATTGTCCCCCAGGCCTGCTCACTAGCTCACTGACTTGGGGCTTGTTCTTGGTTAGACATCACCTTAGGGCTCTGGTGTGGCTGAGTTGCCCTCTGCTGCCCTGTATCAGGCCACAAGCCAGAAGACACTCTACAGGATGATCCCTCCTCCTCTCCCTAAGAGCTCTAAGCCCCAGTGACTTTGGCCAAGGACAGCACAGCTTTCTGTAATCCTATTAGCACCTGAAGGAGACTCCTAATCTCCCAGAGTTTGTAGGAAGCTGTATAAACCTCACATGCTGCTGAATACAGGTGACCCAGGCAGGAGATGCTGCCCCAACCCTTAGGCGTCCAAGGGACTACCTCTTAGAGTCCCCTTTTCTGCTCTCGGTCCTATGTGGTATAGTGCCCATACAGCCTTAAGCCACTGTCAGTGGTCTGCTGGAACATCAGGCCTGAGACTAGTCAGCAGATAGGATGAGTCTGTTGTAGGCAACGTCCACTTCAATCTCAGTGGCTCCCCCTATCCTTCCCAGTTTCAGCCTCTATCTCTGAAGTTAGCACCAGCTTAGGAACCAGGACTCAGGAGCTTAGAAGACCAGGCTTCTCAGTCCCTGAGGCATCCATCCCTTACTTCCCAGTGCTAAAACACTTCTCTAGCCAAAGGCCATGAACCCCCAACAGAGCTCCAATGATCAGTGCTGTCTCCATGGAAACTATGCCTGAGATGCCTAACCCAGACAGACCTGAAGCTGATGCTATTCAGTTATATGATCAGGTGGCTGGCTTTGGTAAGGCACTACCATTCGATATTGTGGAGAAGCAGAGGAGATAATTGGCAGAAGGTCCTCTCCAAAGGACAGGGAAAGGGGACAGGCGCCTAAAGACTCAAAGCTCAGCAGGGCAGTAAAAGCCTGTTGGCCTCCCCCAACCCCAACTCCGAATGAGCAGACATCTGGCTGTCGGAAAGGGCCATAAGATGGGTCACCACTCACCAAGTACTGGACAGGTCTCAGGGAGCCGCAGGCGCCCGTTGGCTGGACCTGGGTCAGCAGAGCACCGGCCTAGGAATTTATCCTTTTCCTGGTGAGCAGATTATGACTGTCTTCTCTGATGCTACACTAATGAGATTGCTGGGCCTTGAGGGAGCCACCACTGACTGGGATGCTGGGGGTGGGCAGGAGGGGTTCAGGTGCAGTCAAGGGCCTGAAGGAAGGACATCCAGTTCCAGAAGGTGGTCAGGAAGGGAAGGAGAAGTATTATCTTCACCAGCTGTGGGACTACGCCTCCAGAAACAACAGGGCCATCTTCCAGACAGTTCTTGCTTGGGCTTACCCCTCCCTTTCTGTCCCATCTACGGAGGAACCTGTCTGTGGACCTTGATGCTCTATGTGGCCACCCCTATTATTTCCCCCTTGCCTTTCAGCCCTGTCTCTTACATTCCAACCCCAAGGCCTCTGCATGTGCCCCAGTGTCTTAGGGGCCCCCGCAGGCTAGGACAGGACACCTATTTCAGATCAGCTTTTTTTTCTTTACACTCATTTGTATGTTTGGATAGAATTGGTTGGTTTTTGTTGTTGTTGTTTTGTTTGTTTTTCAAGACAGGGTTTCTCTGTGTCGCTTTGGAGCCTGTCCTGGAACTCGCTCTGTAGACCAGGCTGGCCTGGAACTCACAGAGATCCACCTGCCTCTGCCTCCCAGGTGCTAGGATTAAAGGTGTGCGCCACAACTGCCTGGCTAGAAATTGTTTTTTGTTTTTCTTTTTAAAGACATGGTCTTATGTAGTCCCATGCTGGCCTCAAACTGTAGGACAGTCTTGAAGTCCTTGTCCTCCTCAGTCCCCAAGTGTTGGAATTACAAGCATGTGCCAACACAGCCAGCTCTGCATGATTTTGTGTTAACCTTTGTCTTCTACACTGGAGTGGTATGGGAGGCATGTTATACTGCTAGTGTCTGGCCCACTATGGAGCATTTCACAGATGCATGGTAGTAAGTACCTGGGAATAAAACTGATGGATAAGAAAAGATGCAGGCCAGTGTGGCAGAGTCTGACAGCTTGAGTGCCACATACCCAGAAGCAGACGTGGGCCCACTGCAAAGGGATGGCCAATGACTTTTCTTTGAGGGCATCTCATACTTCCTGGCCTTACTGGCCTTTGCCACAATTGTCAAATGCTGGAAATGCTGATTTTTATAGGACTCACTGGTGTTAACATTTCCTGGAGATGTGAACAAATGTCTACCTACACTAGGTATGGCCCACTCCTTTAATCCCAACACTCGGGAGGCAGAGGCAGGCAGATCTCTGTGTATTCAAGGAGTTCCAGGACAGCCAAGGCTACACAGAGAAAACCTGTCTAGAAAAACCAACCATCTTTTGAACCTCTTTTCAGGAGGAAATGTTTCAATCCACAGTAAAAGCTACACAAAAGTCTAGGATCTAATAGATGTGGTCACTATTATCATGTTTAACTGGGCCCGGACTCTGCTGAGTACTTTGGATGGCATGCATCATCTGTCCAAGATGCCAGCCTAAACTGTCTTCTGTCACCCACTAGCAAAGTGCCCAGACTTTCTGGTCTTAGTTTTGTCACAAATCTGTGTAAGACACCAAAAAGGAAAAAGCCTTATTTATAGCTTAAAACCAACAGGAAGTCACTCTATAATCCTAGCTTTCCCCTTAAACAAAGCTAGGTAGGTGCAAATACATTTAAGCTCAGCCCTTGCTAGTGCCTTGCAGCTGATTCTGGAGCTTGATGCCCCAAATGCATCTAGCAGTATTCAGACCTCTAAGGGATGACCCTATAGTACTACAGGGAAGAAAGAACATCCCCCCCTCAACCCCCCCCCACACACCCAGCAGGAGGCAGGGAGCAGCTAGGCCCCTCCCACATGACAGGAACCAGAACATCCCAGGTACACTGGGGCCTGGAGGTGCTCCTGTCACAGGATGTTCAGGGAGATGAGGGTTTTAGTTCATCTTCACCAGTGAGGAAAGCTATGGCCGCTCGGCAGGGACACACAGCTAGCCTAGGTATGCTTTCTTTGACAACACAGGCAGAGGGACAACACAACTTGGTTGTCACAGAGAATTTATTCAGAGGTGAAGTTGTTACACAGTAATTTCTATTCCTGGTGGACATGTGGAATCTCCCAGACTCAAGAATAAAAGTGGCCCTGCTGCTTCTAAAGGGTGGCATCTGTCTGCAGCAAGGAGTCCCCGGTAAACTGGCTCAGCCTCTACCCTGTGTGCGGAGCCGGATCTCCATTCTGAGGAAGGCCTTGAGGTTCTCATCAGCCACATGCTCCTCTAGAATGGCCAGGGCCTTCTCCCCACCATCCTGGTAGTGCCTTAGCAGAGCTTCTGCGTAATCTACCCACACACAGTTCGGACAGCCACTCATGCAGCAGTTTGTGGGAGGCTGGAGCTCAGGTGACAGAGAGTCTGGGGGTTTTATGAGGTTCTCCGGGGGCAGGGAGGCCTTTGGCTTCCTGTCATCCTCTGCACCCGTTTGGAAACCTTCCCTGTGGTCCATCCCCAACTTTCTGCAGCTCTCAGTGGCTTGCACTGGAGCATGGTGTCTGTGGAGAACACTGTGTCTTCCTCGGGAAAGACTCTGGCAGCAGTCCCAGCCGGAGAACTGTTGTGTCCCCTGTGAACATGGGATAATCATATGACTCTCCAGGAAGCTGGGAAGGCATTGGGAATGTTCAGCCTTCCTAGCACTGGACCAGTGGCTCAATATCCTTCTCAGCAATATCCTTCTTGCAGGACCGTAGGCAAGTTATTTATATTTCACTTCTGTGTACTGTTTCCCTATCTGTGAAACGGACATATTGGTTGGTATGAGAAGACATTTAAGGGCCTGGTTCGGTGCCAGGCACTGGGCCTGAGCTCCAAACGACTGCACGAGGAACAGCTCTAGATCAGACGACTAGATCGATGGCTGATCGTGGACACGATGAGGCGAAGGCCATCGAGCCGGCCGACCCTCATCAGCCAGTTTTAAGTAAGCACGTCTCCTCTGACCGTTCTGACTATCCGCACCCTCCTCAGTCCCGCATCTTCCTTCCATCATTTCACAAGAGAAGCTCAAAGCATATCGGGTCACCCCACTCTCCGCCTCTAACGCCTCAAAGACATTCACCCGTGACCCTGGTCACTAACTGGTACTCTTGCAATTTACGTGCCCGCTAACTCGTCTGGGGCCCAAAACTGAAGAAAGTTCTCAGTGAGCGCGCTGACCGTGACTCCTCCAAGGGCTGGCTGGCCTCCCAGACTTGGGACACCCCGGCTGTGCGAAAGGCTTCTGGCAACCCAGCTGGGGCACTGCGGCCCACTCGGCCCGCGAGTACTTGCCCAGTAGCAGAGCTCAGTTCCCACCCGGCCTCCCCGGGACAGGCTCTGCAGCAGTATTCTCATAGCTGGGGCAGACGCTGAGGCCAAAGAATTTGGGAAGGAGCGCAGGAAGCGGAAGTGATGCTCATAGGGCGGGGTCTTGCAAGAGGGCGGAAATGGCTTCGTGCTGGGAGCTCCGGGAGTAATAATGGCAGGGTCTGGACGCGCAGCCGTGGCAACCGCACGGTCGGCGGGTCTTGGGGGTTCGCAGGGACAGCAGCGCTCGGCCTCACGGCCGGGACAGCGCAGGTGGGTGCGGTCCCCAGGAGAGGACTCAGCTGGGAGCTTTTCTACATAACTCAGGCCAGGCCCATTCTCAGCCATGTGTTGAATGAACGGTGTCTCAAGTTTCTCGTGAGGCACGTTCCGGGTATGAGGCCATGGCTGCTGCCTCCCTGGGCTTTCGTAGCGCCTTTTGCTTTAGCAAGCTGAGAAAATCCAGTTCAAGGCAGCCTTGGTCAAGGGTGAGGAGTGGACCGTCTGTTCATGGCCCCAGCACGGCTTCTTTACAGGCGTAATAATCCTTATTTTGTTTCTGCTTATGTTGTACTAGGGAAGGGTCTCACTCCTGGGTTATCTTTCCAGCAAAGAAAAGAAGAAAGTGAATTGCAAGCCCAAGAACCAAGATGAGCAAGAAATCCCTTTCCGACTCCGAGAGATTATGAGGAGTCGACAGGAGATGAAAAAGCCGCTCAGTAACAAGAAGAGAAAGAAGGAGGGTATGTACAGCCCTTGCTAGGTGCCAGCATAGCTTTGTCTGTACCCATCCAGTTGCCCAAATACTTAGAGGTGTTTGAGGCAGGGGTGCAGAGTATGGGAAGGAGCACTGAGGGGAGGACGGCGCAGCAGTCTTCTCCGTAATTCACCACGCTTGGACTTTTGAGATTTTTAAATTATGTAGTCAAGCGTGACAGGTCGGGAGGAATGTGCGTGCAGTTGCTAGCAGAGGCCAGGAGAGGGTGTTGGATCTCCTGGAACTGGAGTTACAGGCCTTTGCTGCCCAATGTGGTTGCTAAGGAGCCAAACCCAGGTCCTTGAGGAGTACATATTCTTAATGACTGAGCTATCTTTCCAGTGGAATTGGTGTGTTTTTGATTTCGGAGACAGGGTTTTTCAGTGTAGCCCTGGCTGTCTTGGAACTCGTTTTGTAGAACAGGCTGGCCTTGAATTGAGGGAAATCCTCCTGCCTCTGCCTCCAGAGTGGCTGGGATTAAAGATTGGGTTTTGGTTTTGGTTTTGTTTTTTTCAAGATAGGGTTTCTCTGTGTAACAGTCTTGGCTGTTCTAGTACTCCATTTGTAGACCAGGGTGGCCTCAGACTCACAGAGATCCACTTGCCTCTGCCTCCCGAGTGCTGGGATTACAGGTGTGCACTCCTGTAATGCTGGAACTCTGGTTTCTTTGTTCACCTGTGTTGGCAGTGGACATCTTTGACAGGAGCCAGTGGTCATGAGATCACATCTGTAGGGCTGCTCTGTACTGAACATTTTAGATCACTGCTTGTCCTTAAGCCTGGCCTTTCTCCTTGTTGCTATAGGAGGGAAATGGTCATGGGCTGATTACCTGTTATCAGCCACTCTGTCCTGAGCGTCGTCTTACACCTACTCTGGGTGTCCTTTGTCCTCAGCCCAGGTGGCTTTCAGGAAGACCTTGGAAAAGGAAGCAAAGGGAGAAGAGCCAGACATCATTGTCCCCAAGTTCAAGCAAAGGAAGGGAGAGTCTGATGCGGCCTACATCCAACGCATGGAGCAGGAGGCCCAGCACGTGCTGTTCCTTAGCAAGAACCAGGCCACGTGGCAGCCAGAGGTGCAGGCAGCTCCCAAGAAGGAGAAGTCTGAACGGAAGAGAGCGTGAGTTGAACCTGGAGCCCCAGGGCTGTGGGTTCTGGTGACAGGAAAAACTGGACAGGAAGGGCATTTGAATGCCTTGGGTGTACTGCTGTAGGAAAGTGGAAAAAGATAAACTTGCTGTCTGCTACAGGAGACCTTGCTGGATGCTAAGACATTATCCCCAAGGAACTCACCCTGTGGAATGACCCATGTGAGGCTGGCACACAGCCTGTCACCTGCTCTGTAGTGGGTTTATCTCTAGTGTTCCTCTTGGTTTGAAAGAGACTTGAGTCTGTCTTGTTTGTGCAAGTTCTGTGTGGTCTTGGCCTGGTGTCCTTGACTGTTAAGAAGAGTTAACAGTCATGATGTTCGGCTCTGCTCTTGTATCATCCATAGGGATGGTGTCCAACCAATGGAAGCCCACCACAAGCTTGAATTCCCCCAACCTACTCAGTCACCTCCTGCCCAGGCCACCCCTGGCTTGTGTGCAGGCAAAAAAAAAAAAAGTATTTATTTATTTATATGCACGAACCACAACTTTCAGGAAGAATCAGCCCAGAATTGCTTTCTTACTTTTTCTTTTCTTTAATTTTTTTGAGACAGGGTTTCACTGTAGCCCTGGCTGTCCTGGAACTAATTCTGTATACCAGGGTGGCCTGGAGCTCAGAGAGATCTGCCTGGCTCAGCCTGGGCTTTCACTGAAGTTGAAGAAAAATTCCAGCCATCCATGGGTGGCTCATGCCTATAATTCCAAGATCCAGGAGGCTGAGGTTTGGGGCCTGCTGTGAGTTCAGGCCAGACAGGGTCTCAAACAAAAAGATGACCAACAGAAATGACTACATTGCCTACGTTTCCCTCTCACTAGTACAGGAAACGTGTCCTTTTTATTCTGAGATTGCTTTCCGCTTCCTTCTAGTATTATAGTCACACGAACCAAAGCCCAGTCTAAAGCCACACTGGTCTCCAAATGCTCACAAAGAGGTATGGTGCAAGCAGGGTGGAGGTGGCACCCACCTTTAATCCCAGCACTCAGGAGGCAGAGCCAGGTTGGATCTCTGTGAGTTCGAGGCCAGCCTGGTCTACAGAGTGAGTTCCAGGATAGGCTCCAAAGCTACACAGAGAAACCCTGTCTCGAACAAAAAAAAAAAAAAAAAACCTTTTGACCCAGTCTCACACCTGACATTCAATATGGAGTGCGTTGTTCCAGGTAGACAGCCCATGGCTCCTAGCAGTGTGGCCGTACTCACTGTAAGGTACTTAGCCACATCCTGCCATCCTTTTGACAACCCAGAATGTCTAGGCTTTATCATTGTTCCCTGGAGAACTACTGACTGGTGTAGCTGAAAGTTTTCCTGTGTTCCACCTGGTCTGCAGCCGCTCAGACCCAAGTAAACACACAGAGGCTTATATTAATTAAAACTGCTCAGCCATTAGCTCAGGCCTACCACTGACTAGCTCTTTCACCGAAATTCAGCCCATTTCTGTTAATCTATATGTTGTCATGTGTTCCGTGGCTTTTCCTGTGTGCCATTACATGCTGCTCCCTGGATGGCAGGCTGGCGTCTCCTGCTCAGCCTTCCATGTCCCAGAATTCCCCTTGTCTGCTTATCCTGCCTTTACTTGCTGCCTGGCTACTGGCCAATCAGCGTTTTATTAAACCAGTGTACAAAAGCATTACTCCACAGCATTGGGAAGCCTGCTGGGTGCAGAGCATGGGTTTGCCTCCCAGCTCCACATCTTGCAGTCCTTGAAGGCAGGCTGACTTTGCTGTCCCTAAGATGGAACAAGAGCTTAGGAGTCTGAAAAGCATGTACTTCACCACCCCCACCCCTCCCCCCCCAGATTTCAGAAGCGGCGACTTGAAAAAGCCCAGAAGAAAAAGGAGGCAAGAGCAGTGGAGAGACTGGAGCAGGAACTGCTAAAAGGTAGCTTTCCCCAGGAGGCACAGACGCTGTAGTCCCCATAGGGCTCCACCTGGTCTTTCCCTTAGATCCCCTTGGGGCACCTCTGGACTCTTCTAGGCTCATCACTGGTAGGCCAGTGGTTGAGTGAGTTCTGAAGCCCTCAAGAAAGGGAGGGTGGTGGGTGGTGAGTCAGAAATGGCATGGGCTCTGTGAACAGCAGGCTTCTGTTCACTGTCTTTACAGATACTGTGAAGTTTGGAGAAGTTGTGCTACAGCCCCCAGAGCTGACAGTCCAGCCTAGAAGGAGCATAAGCAGAGATGCGGTACATGAGGACCAAGTAATGCAGGGAGTGGGGATCGGCAGGGTTATTCCTGTTTCTGCTGGGGAACAAGTGTCCTGGCCCAGGAGCTTCTTAAAGGACTGTGAGCTGCTGCACCAGCTGTGGGAGCCCGTTCTCGGGTTCCTCGTGGCTTTACCCAGCAGGTCCGCATAGAGGATGATTAGACCACGGGCCTAAGTGCAGGTGTCTGGGATGGTCTGCACTTGGCTGTGCTGGGGGAGGAGGTCTTTTGCTCCACCCCTTGGCGTCTCTATAAAAACCCTGGGGCAGAGACAGTCGGGGCCCGTTGGAATAGGTTCCAGGCCCTCTTGAGGCTATCCTTTATTTTCTATCTGTTTATCTCCGCGATATTCTCCGCAATAAATCCTTCTATCTAATATTTCCTGCTGCTCGCACTCAAGAAAACTCTGGGGAACTGTGGGGGTGGTTGGGTAAATGCCCCACAACCAGCCAAAGCCCTTTGCCATCTTTTCTAGCTCAGCTTGTGCTACAACTTTCTCTTTCCTCAGCCTGGCAAGAAATCGCTAATGCTGAAGATGCTTTTGGGCCCTGGTGGTGTGTCCCTGACTCCAGCCACCTCACTGGCCCGCCAGCGGATCCTGGGGGAAGAGCGGGAACGTGCTGTGCAGGCTTACAGAGCCCTGAAGAAGCTGCAGCGACAGGAAGTGACGCCTGCACGGCCACCTGGCAGCTCTTCTCAGAGGAAGCTCCAAACTTGTCTGTGATTTAGAGACCCAGGGGTCCAATCCCTGGAAACTGGCCTGGGAACTGCTAGACCTGGAAAGGGAAAGACAGCAGATGCTTTTCTCTGAGCATAAGCTTTCAGTATGGGGATGGGATGGGTGCTTTCCTTTCCCCTTCCCCTTTTAAGATCATCCTTTTCAGAGTGACCACCCATGAATCCCATCTCATACAGGGCACGTTTCCCCAACACTTGCCCGAGACACAGATGGGAGAGCTGGTGTTTTCCCTGAGCCTAGCTTCATTCTGAAACAAGAATCGGGGAAGACGAGCCAGGACCACTGTAGAAAGGACTCAGTTCCTTAATCCAGCCGATTACTGAAGCTGCTGCTGAAGGTCAGCCTTGTGTCTTAAGAGGCTCCCCCGGGTTCAGTGCAATGCAAGGCAGGGACGGGGCAAAGCAGGTTAACAGGACAGCGGAAGGGCAGGTGTATCAGCCAGGCGCCTGGCAGTCAGCACCTTATTTGCCTGCAGGGGTCTGTATAAGAGGCCAGAGCCCCAGTCTAGGTTTGGTTTGGATAGAGATGGGGTGTCAGTACTGGCTGAGCACCGTGAGGTATACACATAGTCAGGTTCCAGTGGTAGGAAGGGCAGAGTAGTTACACCAAGAAAGTAGGAACAGGGGCTGGAGAGATGGCTCAGAGGTTAAGAGCACCGACTGCTATTCCAGAGGTCCTGAGTTCAATTCCCAGCACCCACATGGTGGCTCACAACCATCTGTAATGAGATCTGGCACCCTCTTCTGTATACATAATAAATAAATAAATCTTTTAAAAAAAAAAAAAAAAAAAGAAAGTAGGAACAGGTCCATGTCCTGCATAACAGTCCTCTGGGAAATAGGGCAGGCCTTCTGAGAGGACCAGGGTTGGAATCTGGTTGAGCATGTCTCCCATAGTACCAAAAGAGGGAGTACCTGATACTAAACTCACCCAAACCTCAGGAGTGTGGTACCACCCAATAATCCTGGCACCTAGGAGGTAGAGGTGGAAGAATTGGGAGTTCAAAGCCAGTCTTGACTACATGAGACAGTATTTAAAAAAAAAAAAAACCCAGCAACAATAAAAAACACATGTAGACATCAGAAGAGCTAGGCTTGGGCCCTGCTGGGGAAGCATAGTCTTATTTGCTGTCTCTGAAGTCTGGACCGTTGCTCTCTGACACACTCACTTAGTCCCAGTCAGTGCAGGTCAGTGTGACTGGGGACGAGTGCTTAGACACACACCCAACAGTAGCATTGGCCGCTTGATTTCCCACTAAGCATCAGGACTAGAGCCAGGGCCCAGAGCCACTGTTACTAGAGCTGCAGGCTTTTCTGTTCTTTTCAGAAGCAGCGTAATCATCCACTTAAAGCACAACCTGCCAGTTCTGTGAACTGCAGTAAAGAACTCTGGGTAACTCTCTCTTACCCATATGTACTTTAGGTATGTCTTTAAAGAAGCCCACACGTATGCTTTCAGGTATTTTTTAATTTTTTTGTTTTTCAAGACAGGGTTTCTCTGTGTAGTTTTGGTGCCTGTCCTGGATCTCACTCTGTAGACCGGGCTGGCCTCGAACTCACAGAGATCCGCCTGGCTCTGCCTCCCGAGTGCTGGAATTAAGGCATGTGCGACCACCGCCTGGTGGTATTATTTTTAAAAAAAGATTCATTTATCACATATACAGTGTTCTGCATGCAGGAATGCCTGCATGCCAGAAGAGGGCACCCAATCTCATTATAGATGGTTGTGAGCCACTATGTGGTTGCTGGGAATTGAACTTGCAAGAGCAGGCAAGTTTAAACCCCTGAGCCATTTCTCCAGCCCCTCAGGTATTATCTTTTGAGTGCTTTTCTTTGTCAGAATACCTTTATTAAATCTTTGGTTTAAAAACTCTGCTTTATTACAAAAGGATTGTTTACCTGTGCTTAAGCCTTCTCAAATGGGTCTTGGACCTAATGATGGTATGGAACCACCTGTCTAGTATGGCCTTCCCATTCTTCTCACTTCTGGTGTGGAAGACCATAAGGCAGCTCTTGCTCCTGGCCTACTCCAAGGTCAGGCCTGGTCTTTGCTACCATTTTGGACTCCTGACTTTCAGAGCAGCACTCTTTAAATATTAACAGGTAGGCTGGGGCATCACCACTGTTGCCTCAGTACTGACTAGGTACTGATGTATAAAGGGTAGAATACCTCTGGGGTTCCCTAGACCTCCCCACTTTGTGTCTGGCACTTAAAGATGATCAGACTGATGCGTGGGTCAACCATTAAGTATTCTCTATCAAGCTGAAGTGACTAAGATGACGAGTCCTAGCACAATGGACCCAGTCCCTGTGCCATCTGTATCTCTTACTGCTCACCTGTGGGAACTCATACCCCTGTACATGTCTTTGAGCAATAAAAGTTCACTGAACAAATGAATCAATGGAAACACTTGTTTCTGGTGAAGTAAAACCTCCCCATCTTTTTGTTTTTTTGAGACTGTGTAGACCATAATGGCGTGGAACCAGATCCTCCTGCCTCTGCCTCCCAAGAAATGGTCCCCCACACCCCCTCTTTTTGAGAGAAGCTCTTCTGACCCCAGTGTAGCCTAGGTTCTTCAACCCCTGAGCTCAAAATAATCCCTCCACTGTGGTCTCTTGAGTAGCTCGAGCCACAGGCCTGTACCACCACATCCTGCCTGGTTTTTGTTTCTCATTTGAGACACAGTTCTTATACTCACTTCATGAACTTTATATTTTTTTCTGGACAACATGGTCAGGATATCAAACTCAGAAGGGCAGAGCTTGTACTGGTCTCAGTGGAGCAGTACAGTCCAAAGCCCTCAGGCATAGGTCTAGAGTTTCCTGGTGGGAGTCCCAGCAGCACTTTTATCTAGAATGGTAAGAAGACATCCAGCCACCTACAGTTCTGTCCTCTCCCAGTCTTGGGGACATTCTTCAGAGGCAAGGTGACAGTAGTCTGTACAGCGTATGCTTGTTTACCCGTCACTTCCAAGGTCCCTATCACTTAGGGATGCACTGGGTGGGTCTGCTTCTCTCAGAACAGACCTTCAGAGGCCGCCTGTCACTCTTGGTCACCTAGGCACTGGGTGGGTCGGCCATAATTCTCCATCTTGCAGTCAGCTACTGCATTTGTGTTGCTCCTGGAGCCAGAGCAGTACCGTTGCCAAGCCAGTGCCGTTCCTGGCACTTACTTCTGCTGTGGTGATGTTCTGCTTGGCACAAGCAGTGATGTCTGGAAGCCTGATTAATGACTTTATTTCCTCCATGGTCATGTAACAGGGAAGGTCACTGTTGTTTAAGAAACACGTTATCAGAAGGTGACAGCCACAAACTTACCCTCCCCAATGTGGACCCCAGTTCTAGGCTGCAGTCAAGGACAGCAACTCCTTGGAACATCCTGTCCTTCATTAGCCCCAAGACCCATACATTTTATTGAAGAGTATCAGGACCGAGGCTTTTGAAAGTTCTTCTGCAGAAAGGAGACCCAGGAGCTGCATGCAGGATGCCGAGAGCTGGGTGGGGTTAGAGGCATCCATCATGAACTAGGGAAAAGGAAACATCTGCTAAGAAGGTGTTCCTGGCCAATCCTTGTAGTAATATGTTGTGCACCCTAATGGAATTTGCCTGAAGATCAGAGAACAGAACAAGCCACTAGATTAAACACAGATGCCAGGCAGTGGTGGCACACACCTTTAATCCTAGCACTTGGGAGGCAGAGATCCATCTGGATCTCCGTGCATTCAAAGCCACCTTGGACTACATGAAATTGATTCAGTCTAGGAGAGAAACAGAGCCAGGCAGTGGTGGCACACACCTTTAATCCCAATACTTGGGAGTCACAGGCCTTTAATCCCAGCACTTGAGATCTCACACCCTTGTTTGGGAAGCACATACACCTTTAATCCCAGCACTAAGAAGGAAGTGATATGGCTGAAAAGGTATATAAGGTGTGAGGAGACAGGAACTAAGGCCTTTTCAGGCTGAGGAGTCTTCGAGGTAAGACGTGGCAGTGGCTAGTTCCTTTGTCTCTCTGATCTTTCAGCATTTACCGCAATATCTGGCTCAGGGTTAGTTATTATAAGACCTTTTAGGAATTTGTGTCACAAATCCTCCACCTGGGCATTACACAAGTGACTCAGGGAGAGCATACAGAACTTTTTAAAATGATCATTTAGGACGCTGGAGATTGAATTTAGGGCTTCAAGTGTGACTAGGCAAGCACTCTGCTGAGCTGCATGCCTGGCCTCACCGTGGCTTTTAAGCAAAAAGGTTTTGGAAACATGCAGCAAAGGGAGTTATATGCGGATGACTTGGTGTCACTGGTGTCTTTTTAAGTACATAAAGTCTACTCCTGTGGCCATCAGTTCTCCATCCCAGAATTTGGAGCCCTTTCCTCGTGGGGATGTGACTGACCATAGGGATACGGAAACGTTGGGCATATTCAGGTACCAAGGCAGAGAACAAACAGTGCCTTCAGCAAACCCTCCTGGAGTCTGAGCCCTGCTCCGGAGCTCAGACCAATGCCTAAGAGCAACAAGCAATGTAGCCTAAGTCCTGTTTCCTTGAGCACAATCATAAAAGACCCCAAACCCTATCCCATATAAAGCAGGGTCCGCTACTTGATGACTCAGAGAGACGGACACACTGCTCCCAAAAGAAGCTCGAAGTATTGACTCACCAGGAGCGAATGGCAGTTTCCATAGTAACTGGACCAGATGGGGCTCATGCAACCCCCGAGCTCTCGGATGGTGATCTTCCTGTGGGCCACGATGTCAGTGAGGTTGGTGCCCACCTTTGGGAAAAAACCACGGCGCACAGTGACGAGTGTAAGCGCTGTGCCATTGTGAATTCCTAGACGGCAGCTCTGCGATGTGTGTTGGGGGGGTGGGGGGGGAAGGGGTGGCTAAACCTCGATAGTGACAACCGTTCAAGCCCTTCCGCAGAGCTCGCCACCAAGAGCAGCAGCTCTCTGGGGCTCCAGGCCAACGTCAACCAGAGATGGGCCCTGAGGGTGACAGCGAAATAAGTCCCTCGGGAGGGGAGAGAAAAGTGCCTACGGGAAGGTGGGCTTCGGGTTCTCCGCAGGTTCGGCTGTTCAGTGTCGGGAGTTCTCTCCCGAAGGCAGTACCCAACCCACTGACCACCGGAGGCGGCTTCCGCCTGGAGAAGCCCGAGGCGCTTTCTAAGTCGCAAAGGTAACCCGCGTTGGTCAGACCTGAGAGAGGCGGACACCTACCGTGGGCCGCGTAGGCGGAGGCTCCCCCAGGTCGCCCCCGCCATCCGAGCTCAGCTGTTCGGGTGGTCAAGGGCATGAGTGAGGCAGAGGACGGAGTTCCCATCCCGAATCACCCCGGTGTGTCCCCCGCCCTGCCGGAGGCCCTGCCCGCCCACGTGGTGCGGAAGGATATTCTGCAGGCGTTTCACCAGCAGGGTCTTCCCGACTCCCGCAGCCCCCAGCAGGAGACACATCCCCGGGCCCGGTCAACTTGGCACCCGTACCTTTGAGCTACGACGCCGTGAGGCCCGCCTCCCCTGAGTTTTCATTGGATAGACCTCTCGTCCAAGTTGCTCATTGGTTAGTCGCGCGGTCCAATGGACGCTCAGAGTCAGTGAGCCAGCGCAAGGCCTTGCCTCGGGGCCGGTCTCGGGGTGGCGCGGTGACGTGCGCTTGCGCGCGCAGAAAAACAAAGACGGAAGCGGAAGTTGGGGGGCGCGTCAGCTCCGAAAGAGGGAGCGCCCGCGGCGTCGGTCCGGAGTGGGGTCGCCATGGGGCGAGGCAGCGGCACCTTCGAGCGTCTCCTAGGTAACGCGTCCGCCAGCCAGCCAGCTCGCCGTCAGCCCTCTCGCGCACCCTCCAGACGCTGCCTGCATAGGTCTCAGGGGAGCGGGCCGGCCGCTCTGACCAGCCGTCGGCCTCCCGGGATCACTACACCTTTCCCGGGCCTCGGGTGTGGCCGTCGGGGTTGTGCACCTCGACCCTGGGTTCCAGTGGGGGATGCTCTTGGGGAATCCGCGATGGACCTCGCTTCCTCCGGGTCCGACGCCCCCGAACCGATTGGGCCAAAGTCCTGAGTCATGAAGTATATGACTCAGATCTTAGCTTCATGCGGGTCCTTTGACCCTAATACCAGCTCGAAGGGTGGAATCGATACAGCCCTCAAACCTTTTGAGGCCCTTGGGGACTGCCTTCTAGGACCCCAGCCCGCCCCATCCTGTTTATCCCTTGGGCTCTGGAAGTGTCCCTGGGTTTTGGAAGACATTTTCTCTCATTGTTGGAGGTGCTTGTTGATCCTATTTGATCCTCCTGGAGAGCGTAAATTTTAGGAGGGACAATGGGTTTGCCATGCATGCCCCATTCTCTCAATAAAAATGTCCTGTGTCCAGGAACAAGCGACAGGGTGCCACCATAGTCCGTTCATTTGCTTCTTTCTGAACTAGGGTTTTCAAGGGGGCTGTAGATACAGTGTTTTCCTTACTCTCACTTCTGGGGAGGTTCAACACTTCAGGTATGAGTCCAGTAATTTGCTGGATCAGTAACGAAATTGGTGTGTTTTGGGATAGCTCATTCTTATAGAAGGGAGGTGATAAGGATGTGAAGAGTGTTAGCTGGGGAATCCTTGGAGGTTTTGTTTTACCCCCTCCACTTGGAGTGGAGAAGTCATGGTCCCTCCTCATCTCTCTAGTGATTGCCTGGCTAAGAGCTGATATAAAGGACAAAACATCTAAATGATGAGACTCTGAGGGTCAGGTGATCCCATTGAGAAGCAGCAGTGCATGGCAATTCAAAGTGCCCAGCAAGCTGTGGTATCAGGCATCCACTTCCCTCTATCTTTAAAGGGGATGGAGGTAGTGCCTATCTCCTGAGGTTCTGAGTGAATTCAGAGTTTGAAATGACAGCTGATAGGGAGCAAGCACAGCAGCCATTGTTTTCTAATTTCCACATTATTTGCTTCTTGCACGGGAGGATGCCATTTGCAATGTTGTCAGTGTGCTTCAAGAGGATTTTCTGTTGGGTTCAGCTGTTTAACAAGAGGGAACTTGCTACCCTGGGAGCCACCTAGGAAGCACAGCACAATGGGCCCCTTGAGTGACATCTCTCTCTTTTAGACAAAGCCACCAGCCAGCTTCTGTTGGAGACGGACTGGGAGTCCATTCTACAGATCTGCGACCTGATCCGTCAGGGAGACACACAGTAAGTGAGGAGGGCCCGTCCTGTAAAGCGAGGGGCAGCCATGTACTATGCTGACATCTTGTGGTGCCCACTCCTCTCCCAAGATTAAGTTGACCACAAGAGTTCTTTATGTAGACAATTGCCTGGTCTGCATCCGGGTGTTTTATTTTGGGACGATTAAAGCTGTACAGTTTGTAGATACTTAGAGGTCTGAAGGATGGTATGGAGGCCAGCCTGGGCTACATGAAACCCTGTCTCAAAAAATAAATGGAGATGGTGGAGAGTTCTTTATGTAGGCAATTGCCTGGTCTGCATCCGGGTGTTTTATTTTGGGACGATTAAAGCTGTACAGTTTGTAGATACTTAGAGGTCTGAAGGATGGTATGTGGAAGGCCGGGCATATAGTTCAGTTGGCAGAGTATTTGCCCATCATGTATAAAACCTTGGGTTTCATCCCCAACACAGCACAAACCAGGCATGATGGCATTGCCTATAGTCACAGCATTTGGGAGGGAAAGGCAGGATAAGAAGTCCAGGGTCAGCCGGGCAGTGGTGGTGGCGCACACCTTTAATCCCAGCACTCGGGAGGCAGAGGCAGGAGAACCTCTGCAAGTTTGAGGCCAGCCTGGTCCACATAGTGAGTTCCAGGACAGCCAGGGCTATACAATGAGACCCCCATCTTGAAGTCCAAGGTCTTCTGTAGCTGCACATTGAGTTGGAGGCCAGCCTGGGCTACATGAAACCCTGTCTCAAAAAATAAATGGAGATGGTGGAGAGCTTTCCTCATCTTACTGAGGTGTTTCCCCTCCTTTCCTCTTACTGCTGTTACTAATGCTTGCTTTTTTCTTTCAGAGCAAAATATGCTATAAATTCCATCAAGAAGAAGGTCAATGACAAGAACCCACACGTGGCTTTGTATGCCCTGGAGGTAACTAGAACCCTGTGCGGTGTCTTTTGGTCTCCACACTCAAAGATTCTTTTCCTGCCACTGTCAGGCAGCCATGCCCAATTTTCAGGAACATAGCGGCCAGTGGAATCCCTCTAGCACTCATTGCCACTGAGCTTGAGCACGCTTGTGGGAAGAGAGGAAGTAGCAGAGATGCTGCTTCTCCACCTGTAGTCCAAACAGACACCGTGAAGGCTGCGATGGCATCACCTTTGACCACAGGGTGTTACCAGACCTGCAGCCTGTCTTTGGGTGCTGCTGGGGTCCCTGACAGGTTGAGTGGGCTCAGAGGCCTGTGAGGCCTGTCTTCCAGCAAGAGAAAGGCCCTGCCCTGGACACAAGCTAGGCCTTTCTCTTCCTTGGGATTTTCAGGTGATGGAGTCTGTGGTAAAGAACTGTGGCCAGACAGTCCATGATGAAGTGGCTAACAAACAGACCATGGAAGAACTAAAGGAGCTGCTGAAGGTATGTGTCATGAGAGAAGGTGGAGCTGTCTATACTACCAGCTCTTGTAAGTGTTTGAGGGCCCTACAGCCAGGGGAGCAGTGGGTGTGAAAGAGGAGGTCCCTGTGAGTGGTCTGTGAGTCCAGCCTAGGCCCGGGGAGAGACACCTCCAGGCTCATGTGCATGAGGAAGACACTGTTCTTCTTGGACCAGGGAAGGCTTCAGAAGCAGGGCATGGGGCTGAGTCTTTTAGGACTGTGGGCAGAGGTGGTCATGGAGTATGTAGGAGCTTGGGGAAGAGGTTTGGAGTGACACCCTAAAGGGTGGGAGGGGTCTGAGCAGTGGAGGTGCAGAGGTTAAAATTTAGGTGTGTCTGTGACAGAGTCAGGAGGGCAAAATGGCCGAGCAAGGAGCTGCCCCAGGGAGGGAGGATCCGTGTAGATTGTCCCCAGGACCACCTGGGGTTGTGATGTGGATGGTGATGCAGCTGGGTTTGTGGGTTGGGCAAAGTGATGCTGTTTCATGGGACACAGCATTGGGCTTTGGTCCCCAGGAAGCTCCACCCTTAACCCGTGCTGCTACGAACCTGTCTCAGGCACTGAACTGTTAGCTGGGCCCCTCTCACTTGGGGCCTAAATCAGACCTGGGTCAGTCATTGCATAGCCAGAGGAGGGCAAAGCGTCCGGAGACCTCCTGCTCGCGTGTCAGCACACCGGGTTCTGTTATCCTGCAGAGGCATCAGGCTGGTGTCATGACTTCCCTAAGAGAGTGCCATTTGTGGACCCCAATTGTGGAACTGTCCCATGGAGAAATGGAGAAGGAAACATGGTTGTAGATCAGGAACATGAAGCAGTGTAGTTTCTGGAAGTCCTCTGATTTCTCTCAGGATTAAGAATTGTGATGATGCACACGTGTACATACTCAGGAGAGTCGCTCCTGAGATTAGATTGGTGCCTGGCAGCCACCCAGGGACTCTCCTTGGCCTTTATGCCAGTTGTCTCTATTCAGGGCAGTTGGTCTAGATGTCTCTTCCCACTGAGGCCTCAGACCCTTCTCCTGCAGCCCTCCCCACTTCCTTCTTGCTCCACAGAGGCAAGTGGAAGTTAATGTTCGGAACAAGATCCTGTACCTGATCCAGGCCTGGGCACATGCCTTCCGGAACGAGCCCAAGTACAAAGTGGTCCAGGACACATACCAGATCATGAAAGTAGAAGGTGAGTTAGAACTGCCCCAGCTCCAGGCTGGGAACAAGGCCACCAGGAGCCTTAGGGTTGTTTTGCTAGCAATTAAGCTAAATCGTCCCAGTGATAAGGGACAAGGGAGGGTAGACTGGTCCTCCCTGAGTGATTGGCAGTGAGACTAAGGAGGTGGTGTTCCCCAAGTCTTGGAAAGCCCCATGGAGAGAGGTCAGGCTCTGATGAGGTCCTGCTTTCTATGCCTCCACCCAACAGGGAGGCAGTAGACTGTATTTTCAGGCAGGAAACAGTAAAGTCTGGTGACAAGTATACTCAGAGTGATATGCTTCTTGGGGTAGCACAGGATGAGCAGTCTTGGAAGACCTCTCAAGTCAATACAGTGGATTCTAGGAGTTCTGAGCAACCCCAGGACCTTGGCACATTTCTTTATTTTGTTTTGTTTTGTTTTAATTGTATGGATACTTTGCCTGCAGTGTATGTCTGTGGACCACATGTGTGCCTGGTGCCTGTGGAGGTCAGAAGAGGGTGCTGGACCTCCTGAGGACTAGAGTTACACAACTAGAGTTGTGTGCCGCCATTTGTGGACTGGGTCAAACTAGGGTCCTTTGGAAGAAGCAGCCAGTGCTTAACCACTAGGCCGTCTCTCCAGCTCTGCCTTGGCACCTTTTGCAGAGGACTCCAGTTCAGACCCTGGGGTCAGAGTACACTGGACCTGCTGGAGGGACAGAAGAGTGGTTCATGCCAGAGGAGAGCAAGACCAGAATGTGTTATTGCTGTATG